TTCAGTCCCTGAAAATAGGGACTAAAAGTATTCTTTCAGTTCCTGGAGTACATAGAGGAATATTAATTTCAAACATACATATAATATATTCATGAGAAATAAGTGAATGGTCATCTCAAATGCGCAACATATTTCAACCAAATACAGCGATATTCAGTGTGAATAAACTGAGAAATCCTTCTAAATAAATCTGAATTCCGCTTGAACAAATTGATTATTTAGCTCGAATAAATAATTTTCCCATCAAACAAACCCTGGTAAACAAGTGAGCTGACATATTCAAATAAATATTTGTTCAGACCATATAGAACAAATATTTATTTGAGTTCACTCCAATTTTATTCGAGTCAAATTTTTTATCAGTGTACCGGGGATATTTTTAAATGGCGGGCAAAATTAACGAATACCTGCATTTTAGAATGGACGGACGGGGCGCACGGATCACTCCGGGTGGCATGGAGGTAAGTAACACCGATTTGGCTCACGTTCGCAAATTTGAATATAACACCCGATATCGCAACGGAGAGTTTCTTTATCGGGTGTTACTTACCCTGGACAGATTTGCATTCACATGTTTAACAGTAATGCCTTTATTAGATACATAGTATAGATATAATATTATTAGTTTTTTATATTTCAAACTTTCTGTATTTTATTAATTTGCTCGTTAATTCTTGTTTATAGGCCCTACTTTTTGTATTTCCATTTGGTATCATGTACACATGTAGGCCCAAATAAGAGAAAGAAGATTTAAAAAAATTCAGTACAGTGTAATTCGAAAGTATCTGTTCCTTTTTGACTTGGTATGAATGTCACCAAGCCTCACCGGAGAGATATTCTGAGTTCTAAATAAGATTTTGTATCAAAACAGCAAAACGTAAAAATCTTCTTTCTTTCATCTTGAGCATTTCACTGTTAGTAATGTAAGGAGTAACATGTTCTCGTCTATTTATGTTCAATCTGTGGTTCAGTATATACCTATCGTACACAATTGTTCTGAATCTTTTGTAGTCTATATCTACACACAATAGGAAATTGGTCAGCAACAAAAAAATTACTGCTCAAAAATAAAATTCCGGTTTTTTGAGCCCACCCTATATATTAATAAATTCCTTGTTATTTCACAAAACAAAAAAAAAAAAAGTCATATTTATACAGTGTGTTATTTACAAATGTGAAACGGGGCCTTCTTTTTGAATTTTTCGATGTTCCACAACTATACAAATAGTGAAAACGACGTTCTCCTAAATTAAACTTAGTGTCTGAGGTTTTTCGATAAATATTCACTCTTTTATTGTTTTTATCTGCTAAAAAACGAACGCACAGTATAATTTAGAATAATATAACAATTATAATTATATTTTGCACTTATACACTCATGTTTTAAAATTTCAATGCCCTAAAATAATTATTTACAAGATGGTAATAGTAAATAGGCCTATCTAATACCGAGGGTAAGTAACACCCGATAAAGCGCACATCCATGCAACCACGGGTGTTACATTTAAAAAACCGAACCGTTGTCGAACGGATTGCCGAATGCTAAACAGGGTGTTACTTACCTCCATGCCTCCGGGTGCATCCCAGCAGAATATTGAACGTACCCACAGCCTCCTACATTTAACAAGCCATGAAGTTAAAAAGGCAACACCGCAATCTTACCGCCAAGTGGTGCTGGTGCTGTTTGTTTTTATAAGTATATACTTTTTATTTTGTTAATATGAATCCCAAAAAATGCATCATTTATTGTAATAAAGGAACAAAAACAGTAATTCAATGAATAATATAACTATTTATGTAAATAAAAACAGTAAATAATTGATTTAAATGAATATATTTCTAGATTCTAAAGTGTTATAAGCCTATGTTTCAGTATGCCTTTTGAAAATCTAACTTTTTCTTTCTTCGGGATTTTTTCGGAAGGCAGGTCCATTCAAATACTTGAGCTGATTTTCGAAAATAAGAGGTACTTTTAAGAGTTGAACGTTTTAGTTTGAATTCTCGATTTACTCCTTTATCCTTGTTTGTTTCAAATCTAATTATTTCGGTTTCTTCAAAATGTTTACAACACACCACAGAATTTTTCGTTATTGTATAATCTCGGGTATAATTATCTTGGTGTATTGCTTTTATCCACATTTTTTGCAATTCAGAATTTTTTTGGAAATGAAAATGTTTGCATTTCTTCAGTTTTTAAGGAACTCCTATAGTTCGATTTGCACCCAAGAACACAGGAGTTTCATGGCATCTGGAACAAGTTTAAATATCTTAGGTAATATAGCGAGACCTATGCTCTTGCACACAAATATTTATATTGTTTTACCTTACCTTACCTTCATTTTTGCTCCTGTACCCATATGCTAAAAATTTGCAATCAAAGCACGAAGGAACCGGTATCAACTAAATATGGGCAATATATGGGTGTGTTTCTATTCACTTTTTCGTCAATAATGCCCACAAAAATACTAAACTGCAACAATACACAATGAACGCAATACACAGTAACACATAACCCAATAACAAAATAGCACCATACGCGACGTTGCCGTCATTTCCAACTTCATGGCTTGTTAACTATAGGAGGCTGTGACGTACCCCAAACATGCCTTTAGCTTGCGCCCATTTTACGCCCGTATGGACTTAATCTCGATTAGGAGTTTAATCTCGCTTAGTTCGGAAATTTGTCATGCACCGCAGGAAAAAAGTATTTTAAGCTTTGGATTACAAGAACCACCCGAGAAGAGGGGTTTTGCTTAGATAAGATGTTGCTTAGATCAAAAAAAAATCCAAGAAGGGTGATGACATGGCAATATTACTGAACTAACTTAACTTGCCTAACATGTACAGTTGCGATCAAAAAAAAAGAAGTACAAAAATTATTAACCCCAATTTGATCTCCCGGTGTAACATACAAATTTTGACAGTAAATAAACATTTCAAAATATGTTAAGTTCAGGCAATGACATTTTCTAGGTTAGAAATGGGAGGAAAAATGCCAAAGTGATGTCATCTGAAGCTTTCTAGGTTAAAAACTTGACGAAAAATGCCAAAAATATGTCATTTTTGGTTATGAATTAAATTACTGTATAATAGACCAGGAGATTTTTCTTGTACTACTTTTTTTTGATCGCAACTGTATAGTTCGTCGATTTTTAACTGATACTTTCCGTATGAGGAGCGAGGGGGTGTTTCATATGGCAAAAACAGGTGTGACGTCAGGTAATCATTGGCGTTCTAATGTAGGGAGCCAGCAGCTCACATTCCGTCTGAGTATCAGATTAAAATCGACAGACAATACATTCTTGAGAAGCTAGAAGATATTAGCATTAAACTTCGTTGAATAAGTAACCTGCCCCAATCTGTAAAGTCAGATCTTTAGTTAGGTAGAGAGGTACCAAGTAGATAAAAAACAATATTATTCGTGAAGCCCATCGCCCATCCGAGTGTTTAGTTAACCCACTAACCAAACCGTGAAATAAAAAATAATTTAAAATAAATGATCTTTCATTTGATGTTTTAAATTTAAAGCAGTACAGGAGTAGGAAAAACAAAATAAGTATCCTAAAACCATCTACTTTATCAGTTTTATGAACTCCAATTCAGTTTCTGAAGTTAGTACATTTTTCCGTTTTTCAGTACATTTTTTGTCTCTTGATCAGTACTTTAATTTTCAAGGGTCTGGCAACGCTGGAGTCAGGTTAGTATCGTACTTGAACAACGTATTAATGAATATATTTGGTTCTAAAAATTTTAAAAATACTATCAGAGAAACCAAGTACTTACCTCAAATTTTACCTGTAGTTTTCACGTAAAGTCTGTTTTTTTTTAAAGATAAAAATCAAAATGACATTATGTTGGCAATACAATGTAAAATTGTCAATGCTTTCAAATTTTTTATGTAGAAAAGGCTTGTGTTGCCAACATAGTTACTAAATTTTTGACTTGGGGAATTATCTTTAAAAAAAAAACAGATTTTAGAATGGTTCACAAAATCAGTATAGTAGGATAGTATTTTCACAATTTTTGGAGCCGAATATATGAGAGACTGTTCAATCAAATATAGACAAACTATATGTTTTTGGAATCGGGGCATTGTGCACTTCAAGAATATAGAATGAAATATAGGGCATCCCATTTGAAAAAAGCAAGAAGCATGCAAAATTTGACATTTATGACATTCAAATTTTGTTTCTGACCATGGTTTCTAAAAATTCAACCAAAACTGTACAACTTTTGTATTTACACTTTTCTTTTACCTATGAAGGTAAAGGCTGTAAGAGTAAGTGGGGTGTCAATATATGAAAAAAAAAACATCCTGTACCTACACCTACCTATTTAAAATCACCTTATTCTCCTAAATAGTTCCCCCATTCCTTCGAAAAACCGTTTCTTGCACAATGCGCTGCCAAAACTAACCCAATCTGGCTTATTTTAACTTAAACTAACCCCCCCCCCCTCAAAAGGCCTGTATGCGCCCCTGCAATCAACTTCGTTTTTGGAGGTTTTATAGAAAATTTAATCCCCTTTCTCAAATGTATAATACAAGTTGATTTGTTGAGAATTACCAAAATTGTGAGCAAATTTTCGAGGCCATGTCAAACTGTAGGAAAATTTTTTAGTTTAAAATTAAATCATTGAATCACTTCTCGACTTTTTCTGTATTTTAGTGATTAACACGTTAGGCGCAATGACGTTAGGCGCCATAGCAAAATAGCTAAACTTGTCCAAGTGGCCATTATTTTCAATTTTGTTGTTTTACTTTATTCCGCTTATATTTTGTACAAGTAGGTAACTATTTTCATTTATATGTGCTCTATCACAATACCTGAAAAATATGCGAGTGAACGTACCAAATGTATTATATTCAAATGGCAATACAGTTTATACCGAGTCAGCAAGACCTAAGCCCTGTTCCAACCGACATAAGAACGGTTCCAAAACCAGTAATTTCCGGTTGCTCACTTATTTTTTGATAAGTTGAATGTTTATCCCACTTGACAAATGAATTGGTCGACTGGAAATTACCGTTCTGGAATGGAGCTCAAGAAGACTCCGATTCAAAACCATTTGGTTCGGTTCAGACTCCCTGAATAATCCAGAATATATTGCAAGTGATAATTCTGATTATTTTGATGGTTCTGTCAGCTCCAGAGAGCCAGAAAATGTGAAATAAAGGGGCACTATTTTATTTTTCGTCTGTTTCCCACAGGGCCACTAAAATTAACAGTCTGACTTTCCGTATGGGCCACAGCGGGCGGGCTGTTCTATATAATTTAACATACTATCGGGCATCTGGCCTAGAGAACTTTGAAAATCTGACAGCGATAGTCGGTCATTGGTAACCGCCGTGGCCTACCAAGAACTACAATGATCGTTCACCATTGACCGCCATGGCGCTTAACGTGTTTAAGGTAGGTTTTAGTGGAAAACATTTTCTTATAATGATATGATTGTTATTTGTCAAAATTTGACATTGTTTTTAATTTTTTGATTAATTTTTTTGAATTTTCTACACTCATGTTCCCAAGAGACCTTGCCGGCCACATACAATTGGAGAAACTCAAACCCGACAGGCATTTTTCGGACGAAATTCGCCATATCAAATGTCCGATAATCAAATTGGTCAAACGGCAAATTGAAAATTCGGACAATGTATTTTGCGTACGAGCCGCGAGGTATTAAATTTTCGATTGCCAGTTTCCCTATATAGTTTTGTTATGTATTTACAGAAACAAGTCGTTGAGTCAGCAAATATGGAAGCACAGGTGGACGATAGTGCAATGGTTGGTGGTATTCCTGGTGATGGTGTGCCTGTTCTTTTTCGGGGCGATGCTAGGGGCGGGCATTTGCTCTTGCAATTTATCTCAGCACAGTTTGCCTTGTACAGGGATGTTTTCATTTTTTCCTGGGTTCAATATTGCCAGGACACGTACATTTATTTATTAGTGTATATTATACCTATTTTTTAATTATTTATAATTATTGGTGATATAACATTATATATATTATGAAAAACTGAATCGTCAGATTCTCAATATGAAATGGCAGAGTCATAGAGTTCAAATTCAAATTTTGTATATTCCTGTGGGATAAGAAGAAAATGTGAATCAAGAGCCGGGGGTAATCAAAAATCGACAAAAATTAGGTAAAACAAATTAATCCTCTGATAATAAGCGCCTAGAATTGGTCAATTTCAAACAGACTTTACTCAAGAATCTGTAAAAATATTGTTCCACAAACCGAAATCAAAATAAACAACGGTATTGCAAAAATTCCTCGGTAACCCGAAACAATTAATTTTAAAGCGACACCACACCGCGATAAAGCTTTATCGTTATTATGCAATCTTTTATGCATACCCAGGACACCTGAAATCACCATCACCTGGTTAGTAATACCGTTTTTTTATCCCAATGTAGACCAAAAAACCAAAAAAATTTACCTTAACGGATTATGGGCTCTACTAGTAGACAAAAATCTTCTTCTTCTTGCTGGTACTTTTGGTGGTTCCGTCGATCCGTCCAGAGAATGCTGCCTCGTAATCGGTCTCCTGGTACCAACCACAGCGTTTTGAAGTACCATTTTCACATAGTAAATATTACAGTTTCTGGAATCAATATATTACTAGGAGTTCCACTCTGTATAAATTACGCAATTAAAACCCAATCGAGAACGAGAACAAAGAAGCAAAAAAAACAAAACCTGGACTGCATTTCAATTGGCCGCGGTACTTATACATACAAAGTAGTATAATTAAGTCGCTCATTCTACTTTTATTAAAATGTTGTACATTTAATAAATACATTAATTTGTTGCACTGTGATTCTGAGAATAATAATTAATGTGAAAATGTTTTGGAAAAGCTCAATGGAAACTGTCCACTAGGACTTTGATTTTCTGTGTCCAATATAGTGGACAAAAACCTATCAATTGAAAAAAGTTACTTTCAAGGACTAAAATCAAGTACATATTGTATTACATAAATTGTACATTTTCCTCATATAATAGCAAAATGACTTTCACTTAACAAGGGGTGTTTCTTTATGATAAAATTTGCCACTTTTCCATATACAAAGACAGTGCAAATCCAAAAGTTAATTTATTTTCCAGCTTCACATAGCACTGGAAAATTCCAGTTTAATAAATTCAAATCGCGGAAGTATTATTCATATTGAACCGACTTTTCTTTGAAAATTCCAGGAATTTCCTCATAAAAAAATACCATGGATTTTCCAAGAATTTAACTCACAAAAATTTATTATTACACAAATTTTACTCTCACTTTTTCGCACAAAAATAATCCGGCGCGGAACTTATTGAGATCGATTTCGCGAACCTGCACGAACCGAAGTGGTACTGCGACAAATCTGATGCTGGGTGGTAACTACCGGTACCACGGATAAGGCACACATTTTGCACGGTATAAGTATGTACCTACAAAACGGGAGACCTTTGGAATTTTTTTTTTTGGAAATTAATTATTATTGAAGAATTTCTATTGTGCTAAAAGTTTTTTAAATTCCTGTTGCGCTCTAAAAAAATCTTATAAATTGATACAATGGCGACCTCTTTACAATAATATTGGAACTAGAAGATTTGTGTTGGGGTTTTGGCCAATAGAAGGCGCAATGTTCGAGGTTCAATACAAGATTAGTAATTTGAAAAAGTTCAGCATTTAATTGAACTTGATACTTGATTTAAAATCTCTATTGGTTCAGAAACATCTCAGTTCCTAATTTGAATTTGAAGCATTTTGAGCTCTTTGAGAACTGCTCTGAAATTTGGAATTGGAATCGACACCAAAACTGAGATAATTCATGAATACTATTTTTCATAAACTTTAAAAAAAAAAAGTTTTCATTGAACAACTAAACTTTTTATAGATAATCTCTCTGTAAAACATTGATGCTTCTCTGTAATCCAGATTTCCTGCTAATCCAAGTCCCAACAGCTGCAGCATATAAAATATCTAAATCTGATGGGGTATTATTTTTCAGTTTATCCATTCCATCTATCTTTGCCAGCTGCTTACTTATAGGAAATTTGGGTCATTATTAAATTAGAATTAAAGTTTTTTGTCTTTTAGGTATTGAATCAATCAAAATTTGTCATTAGATTCTTTTGAAATTCTCCTCGAAAAAAATTGGCCTTTTTGGCCCTGACATCCGAAAAATGCTTGGGCTCCTTCAATGCGCATATGCTTCCGCATAGAGGGACGTTACCACAAAAGTAGTTTGTTATTGCTTACCAGGCAAAATCGTATTTAAACCGAAAACAGCTCAATAATTTGAATTTCTATAGGAAATTAAGCCCATGAGAAGTAAAAATTAGAAAGATTATGGAAAGCTTACAATTAAAAAAATGCACCAGTGAATTTTGAATTTTTATCTTCATTCAGTGGGATTAGAAGCCGAAATTTAACTAAATTTTAACTTTGAAGCTCAATATTTCGGAAAATCTACAAGCTATTCAGCCAATTTTGCACGACTTATAGAGAATTTATTACTCTTTCCAATGATGTATAGTTATAGGCAATTTTCTCGAATTTCATCGAAGATATGAGCAATTATTCATGAGTGTGTCAAGATTTTAAAAAATGTCCAGAGTCAAAAATGATATTTCCTTTTGGACTTTTATTTTCTAGTCGAAATTTTTAAATCTAACTGATGTAAGAGTTGTTTCTGACTAATTTGAACTCGCTTTATCAATTTCTGAAGTTGGAATTGAGAAAAACTCAAAAATAAAAATTTTCAAATTTTGCACTTTTTCCTTTTGGATTTTTATTTGCAAATATTTAAACTTCAATATCTCAATTACCAAAGGCGGTACTGGGACCAAATTTTCAGAATTTGTAGCTCTTGATAAGGGCTTTCAGATGGTATTTAGCAGAGCAGGTCTCTAGCGTTTATAGTTTTTGAGAAAATTGAGGTTGAAGTTTTGGACAAAATTTTGACTAAAGCCCAACTTTGAAAGTTTGTAGCTCAAAAACCCTTTGGGGTACTGGAACCAATTTAGCACGGTTTTGAAGAGAATTTAATACTCTTTCCAATGATATAGGATTGTAGCCTATTTGCTCGAATGTCATCGAAAATCTGAGCAATTATTCATGAGCGTGTCAAGATTTAAAAAAATGTCCAGTGTCAAAAATGATATTTCCTTTTGGATTTTTTTTTTCTCGTCGAAATTTTAAAATCTAACTGATGTAAGAGTTGTTTCTGACTAATTTGGAATCGCTGCATCGATTTCTGAAGTCAGAATTGAGAAAAACTCAAAAATAAAAATTCTCAATTTTTGGCACTTTTTCCTTACCCCTTTTGGATTTTTATTTGCAAATCTTCAAACCTCAATATCTCGGTAACCAGGAGAGGTACTGAGACAACATTTTCAGGATTTGTAGCTCATGATAAGGGCTCTCACATGGTATTTAGCTGAAGTCGCTAGCATTTAGAGTTTTTGAGAAAATTGAGGTTAAAGTTTTGGACAAAATTTTGACTAAAGTCCGACTTTGAAGGCTTTGAACTCGCTCTATCGATTTCTAAAGTCAGAATTGAGAAAAAATCAAAAATAAAAATTTTCAATTTTTTGCACTTTTTCCTAAGGTAACCCCTTTGGATTTTTATTTGAAAATCTTCAAACCTCAATATCTCGGTAATCAGAAAAGGTACTGGGACAACATTTTCAGAGTTGGTAGCTCTTGATAAGGGCTCTCAGATGGTATTTAGCTGAAGTCGCTAGCCTTTACAATTTTTGAGAAAATTGAGTTTGAAGTTTTAGACAAAATTTTGACTAAAGGCCAACTTTGAAGGTTTGTAGCTCAGGAACCCCTTGAGCTACTGGAACCAATCTAGCACAGTCTTGAAGAGAATTTAATGCTCTTTCCAATGATACATGATTGTAGCTAATTTGCTCAAATGTCATCGAAGATAGGGGCAATTATTCATGAGCGTGTCAAGATTTTAAAAAATGTCCAGAGTCAAAAATGAGATTTCCTTTTGGATTTTTTTTTCTGGTCGAAATTTTCAAATCTAACTGATGTAAGAGTTTTTTCTGGCTAATTTGAACTCGCTCTATCGATTTTTGAAGTCAGAATTGAGAAAAACTCAAAAATTAAAATTTTCAATTTTTTGTATTTTTTCCTTTGGATTTTTATGTGCAAATCTTCAAACCTCCATATCTCGGTAACCAGGAGAGGTACTGGGACGACATTTTCAGGGTTTGTAGCTCTTGACAAGGACTTTCAGATGGTATTTAGCTGAAGGCGCTGGCGTTTATAGTTTTTGTAAAAATTGAATTTTAAGTTTTGAACAAAATTTTGACTAAAGTCCAACTTTGAAAATTTGTAGCTCTGGAACCCCTTGAGCTACTAGAACCAATTTAGCATAGTTTTGAAGAGAATTTAGTACTCTTTCCAATGATATAGGATTGTAGCTAATTTGCTCAAGAGTCATTGAAGATATGGGCAATTAATCATGAGCGTGTCAAGATTTTAAAAAATTTCCAGGGTCAAAAATGAGATTTCATTTTGGATTTTTTTTTCTCGTCGAAATTTTAAAATCTAACTGATGTAAGAGTTGTTTCTGACTAATTTGAACTCGCTTTATCAATTTCTGAAGTTGGAATTGAGAAAAACTGAAAAATAAAAATTTTCGATTTTTTGCACTTTTTCCTGAGGTTACCCTCTTTGGATTTTTATTTGCAAATCTTCAAACCTCAATATCTCGGTAACCAGGAGAGGTACTAGAACAACATTTTCAGGGTAAGTAGCTCTTGATAAGGGTTTTCAGATGGTATCTAGCTGAAGTCGCCAGCTTTCACATTTTTTGAGAAAATTGAGTTTGAAGTTTTGTACAAAATTTTGATTAAAGTCCAACTTTAAAGGTTTGTAGCTCAGGAACCCCTTGAGGTACTGCAACCAATTCAGCCCGGTTTTGAAGAGAATTTAATGCTCTTTCCAATGATATATAACTAAAGTTAATTTGCTTAAATTTCATCGAAGATTTGAGCAATTACTCATGAGCGTGTTAAGATTTTAAAAAATGTCCAGAGTCAAAAATAAGACTTCCTTTTGGATTTTTTTTTTCCCATTGAAATTTCCAAATGTAATTGATGTTAGAGTTGTTTCTGACTAATTTAGACTCGCTTTATCGATTTCTGAAGTCAAAATTGAGAAAAATCCAAAAATAGAAATTTTCAATTTTGGGGGGTTTGAGATTCGGATTTCTTTGTCGGACAAAACAAAGGGATTTAGTATTTAGTCGAGTACCGATCGCCGATAGATAAAATACAAATTATAGATTTTTCTCACACAACAAGATGCGATTTTTCGGCCGCGTCGTTTGCCCAGTGTACCAATGCAAAGGGGTAAATCACCCCTGAAATTTTTAACATATATTTCTCATTGGGGGAACTATTTCCCAAATATTGCCTTCATTTCTTATATTTTCCTGTTATTCTCAATATTGCCTCATAATTCCCTCTAATAACTTATAATTCCCTCATATTTCCGATACCTACCTAATTCTCTAATATTCAACATAAATCCTCCGTAATTTCTGATATTTTCTTTATTATTGTTACGAAAATGTATCAACAACCCAGTAAGGATTCTGAGAAAGTTACTTGTTTACGTCCGGTACGCGTCTTTTATGGAAATTCCGAATTCGAACAATCAGTGAACTTTTATTGAAAAGAAATAATGACTTTATATACCAGATTTGACTTCTAAAAACATGCTTACAAACGAATTTTCTGGAAAATTCCATAAAATTCTATTTGGAAACCGTACAAGATTAGTTACATTATTACTGGCTTCGATATCGAAAAACCAACTCCAGAAGCGGATTTTCTTGGAAATTCTAGAAACTTTTATAGAATTCTATTTGGAAATTCCGAGTTGACATTATTTTGTTCTATTACAATATCCTGCATTATTCTATGATGAAGACAGGACAGCAAACCGAGAGTAGGTATCCGAAATGAAGCAAGTTAATCAAATCTTGGTAGACTTTATGAAAAATTTGAATGATAAGAGACAAGAAGAAAACCGCGGAGATAAAAGGAAAGCTAGAAAAAAAAAGTCCAAAGAGGGAAAGAAAAATAATAGGAAGAAGGAAAGACCAGCTTCAGCACTTTTACAACAATAAGAAGCCCAAAGACAGAAAGAAAAACAAGAAGAAGAAGGCAGAAAGAACAGGAGCGGCTTGCAGTATTTTCACAACAAAAAGAAGATCGAACATAGAAAGAAAGAAATCTTTAAATTTCAGCGTAAATAGATTCCTGTATTTCCCCTATTACCCCATATTTCTCTAGGTTGGTGACAATAATTCCTAGGTGGTTTACCCCCTGAC